CTTGCTCTCTCCCACATCAGTTAGCCTACAAAGCACTCCTCTTGTCACAGAACCAGGGAGGTTAGCAGGGGGTTTTGGATTAAAACTCACACGGCTCAAGAACTGCAGTGACAAAGCAAATCCTAAATGCTCACTTGCAACCATTCCTGGCACCTTTACAGATGCCACCAAAGCACATGGAGGAACCGAAGCTTGTTCCTGGGGTTGTTTGAGCTTCTAATGCCTGTGATCAATCATGTCTTGAAGAAGAATGTCAGTCTCACATCAGTGTGATGAGTAAGCATACACTGCTGCCTGCCTCACCTCAGGGAGCTGCAGTCAGTGAGTACGCTTCTGCTGAATGCTCCTCTTTGCTCCTTTTCACATCCACTTCTCCCACTGTCAAGGAAAACTTACTTTAATGGGCCAGGAGAAAAACTAACAAGGAAGAATCCAGAAGCATGGCCTCTCCTGACCTATTTCATACTGCTACATCAAGCTTGAATAACACGATGCACAATATCCACAGTGCTGGAGGGAAGGGCTTTGAAAGAAGTGCACGTTACTGAGCTCACTTTGTAAGGCAGATAACTCTAGGGAAAGTTCCAAAAAGCTCTGGTTAAAATAGGCAGACAGACACAGCAAACCTCACTGCTAAAGATGGATGATGATGAGTTCTGAATATATTTAAATCCCGAGGGCAGACTTAGAGAATTAAAAGGAAGATGCAGAAAAGCTCTGCAGTTTCTCGAGCACATTTGTAGCGTGCAGAAGGTTGTCTTACAGTTCACTTCTCCACGGCGCCAAAGCAATTTCTCAACACAACTTCCATCAGCGATGGCAGGTCTGCATTTCAAGTTAGAATTACAAAAAGATAAAATAAAAATCTTAGCTCAAAGATAAACTATGAAATGCGATCCAAGTTACACACTGATGTTAGAATCTCTCTAATCTGTTAACAAATTCTGCGCTCTTGCTACTGATTCAGAACTGCTCCATGGTGCCAAAAATCGTGAGCTGACTCTCCGTCCTACTTTTCAGAACCGAAAGCAGTGATGAAAATAGAAAGAATCAATTTCATTTCACTCCTAAACTCTGTAAAGCTCCAAGTAGCACCAGAAGCAAGCTCTGAGTCTGTCAGAGGACCAAATGCTGTGGATGGCTGAGTGCCCCTGTGGCTGCGTTGGGGAGCTGTGGCTGCAGACAGGCAGTTAACCTGCGGCCCTAATCCTAACCTGTGGCCCAGGTTAGCCTCCTGAGACACCCAAGGAGATGTTCTGTACTGTGGAGCACCTTCAGCTGGGAGCATTCAGGATGCCCTATCCAGAGCAACTCGAGGTTGGGACACTTTCCTGAGAAGCTAGATTTGACTCCATGCATACTGAGCAAGATCTAGAAATCAACAGTGTTTTGGGCAGGTACTCTGAAAATGTGGTTGTTACTGGGTGAGATTCCCCATGCTCACCCATCTGTTTCATCCCCCAGAATAACAGCAGCTAGAGCGGGTGCAAAGAGCCCTGCAATCCACTGTCCTGTCCATAACAGGACTAAAGCAGATGTACAGGAAAGAAGAGAAAAAAGAAGGCAAACAGATGGTGCATCCCTGAGCATCAGCTGTGCAGCACAGCTCAAGGAATGTGAATTACTGTAAGGATGAACAGAGCGTGATTTCGCTCATTTCTCATTGCTGATAAGAACAAGCATAACTTATGCTTTCAATTCTCTCACATATCAGGTAGATTTTTCTACTAATGTATTCAAGAGTTAAATTGCTTTGTGGATCAGCAATAAATATCAGGACTGGCAAAAAACATGCAGGATGAAGCCTCTACTCTATTGGAATTAAAGGGATCTTCACCATTCAGATGCTCAAGGGGAACTAATTGAAAAGGTAATTCTGTCTCAGAAACTGCACAGCTCTTGGCTGTTATGTCCATTTAGGCTCTGTGGAGGAACACCAAAACAAGAGCAATTCTCCTGCTCTGGGATTCCTCTGAGCATTTCACTCAGGGAACAGGCACCAATGGTTGATCACTGTTTCCTCAGACAAGACCCAGGTGTGCAGAACCTCCTCACTCAGTCATGGACACACGTTTGACAGAGGCACAGTTTGTTTTGATTCGTTTTTGTTTTTTCCCCCATACAAAAGAACTAAGAGGGAAATCCTCCATCACTGCAGAAACACACACTGGTTATTGCATTCCAGTTGGTTATTCCAAAATGACTGCACCTGCTGTCCCTTCATTACTGCGTTCTTTCTGGTTGGGTAGGGAGATCATACATCCTGCATATAAATCCTTCCACCAGAACAGCAGGAGGGAACACAGCACAGAGTTCACCTGGCTCATCCCTCTGCTCAGCTCTGAACACCAGCTCAAACATAATGATTTTGTAAGAGGTTATACAAACAAGTAACAATCTTGTAGCCTTTCTAGGGAGCAGATGCAGCCTTTTCTCAATATCCAGCTGCTGCAATTTCAGTACACTGCCATTTGCTCTGTCTCGATATGGTGAGTAATTCATGCCCTTTCTATCAGAAGATAACTTTATAGGCTTGAAAATAGCTATCATTTCTTCTATTAACCTTTCAATCTTTTTGCCTTTGTAGGTTAATATTTCCAAGCACCAGCCTACCATCCTTTGATCCTCTAGCCTCTCATCATTTGGTCTGCCTCTTCCTTCAAACATGCTGCCACAGGCTGATACTGAAGCTTTTCCAGTGTCAGGAAGAATGCAAGGATTTCTTCCCTCCAAAAAGCATTTTAAGAACAGTTATATTTTCCACCACAGCACAGCACTGTTAAGGCATGTTCAGCTTTTGGTCTCTATCATCCCTGTGGTTGGACTTGATATCTTGAAGGTCTTTTCCAACCTGAGCAACACTACAATCCCTGGATTCTTCTTGGAGGACTGCTGCCCAGAGCCTTCCCTGAACGCAATATATTAGTTTTCATCTCAAAGACTTCTCTCCATTACATCCCCTGAACTTCACTGTTGACTCCATACATCCCAGTAGATTTTTTTTTACTTTCTAACCAATAGTTTTTCTCCATCACTTGATTTCTCTTCTCCCCGTCCTCTCTTTTGTCTACTGGATCTAACAGGCAAAAAGAGAAAACACAAGAACTCTGAGATCATATAAACATTTATCTTATTTTCTTAAGACAGTCTGAAGCCAACAAATCCCCTGCTTATGTTCCTCTAGTTCTAATGCTTGTTCAAAAATCACCCTATAACAAAAACAGAAGCTCTCATAATTTTGATACTAGTTTAATATTAATCTCGGAACTCAGGGATCACAAACAGCAGCTGCAAATAATGTGTTTTTCTGACAGCCTCTTTTGAGAGACAACTTTTCCTTTTGTTCCATTTCAAATAATTAGCTAAACTATGGGCAAGTCTATGGCCCTCCAAAATTCAGTCCTCAAAAGGTTAGGAATTTGTGGCTTACAGAATGCATTCCTTAGATCTGGGAGGACTATTTGATTTCTATTACAAGTAAGTGTTTGAATTGTACTATAAATATAGGACACTAGTCCAGCTTCAACTGCAAACTGGAAAGATTCACAGCTCCACAGAGGACCATCAGGGGGAAAGAGATTCTGCCCTTTGATGGAACAAGAAATGGAAAGAGTGGAGACACAGAAATTAATTATTGCCCGTGATAAAAACGCAGAATCAGAACCCAGCCTTTGTGCAGCTCAGCATTCAAGATATTACTGAACGTTAAATGTTTAGTGCTTGCTTGCAATTCACAGCTTAAATGTCTGCGGGTAACATTTAAAATTATCAAGAAAGGATGAGTAAGGAGAAAGGTGGTTTGAAACTCCAACTGGCTCATTTCCTCATCTCCTGTTCAGTCAGCAAGGAGAGCAATATTGAAAGGGCAACTCAAGCAGCATCCATGCTATCTTGGCCCAGTTTGTAGCTAATTATGTACAAGAAGTCGTCCATTGCTACCAGTTCATAAATGTGGATAACAAATCTGTTAAGCTGCACAGACAAGAATAGAATCAGTAAACTATTCAGGAAAGATTCCGGGATCCAGGAGTGACTTATTAACTAACGAGAGAAGTCCAAAAAGTTGCAGCAAAAATTATGCTTAGATGGAAATCAGGAAGATCCTGAACACTTACCACAGTGATGAAACTCCTGAATTAACACAGACAAAAACCTCTAAGCTTTTGTAATGTGAGTGCATGAATACAGGCTAATTCACAACTACAAAAAACAATAAACTATCTCCCAAATGGTATTATGCTCTTAGAAAGACAAAATAACATGAGTATTTTAATCAGTCTTGTCACTTTGGCAGCTTTTTAAGAAATCTGGTAAAATAACTATGTGTCTTAAAGAGAGGAAAAGAAATAATTTGAAGTAACAACATTAAAGAATTGTCTTTAAGGTTAGTTAAATGACTTAGAGCTTAACGTCCATGATGCACTTAGGGACAAAAACAATTAAATTTTAAGTCAGTCACTCAGAGATTTGCAGGAGAGAGGTATAATGTCAAGTGAATTAAAGAAGATGAATGACTTGATGGATTCAAGGGAGCAATCACAGTCTTCAGGACATAAAGAAGTCGCGGCAGTTGCAGAATGAGGATGGATGGCATAGAAAGGGAGGAAAAAGAAAACCAGCTCCCAGGTATCAATGCTCTGGAAATAAAAGTATGCATAATCAGGGCTTGACTTTGAGTCCTAGTGAGTAGGACATATGAATAATAACATTTCAAAGTGATTTTAAAGATCAAACAGTCATTTATTGTTAATACCACTAAGTGATTTCCACTTTAAATGCAGGACATGCATACGTAGTAGTGTGAACTTTTTCCAGCTATAGAGAGGATAAAGAGAGAAAAACTGGTGAAAGTCTGGAATAGATCAGATCAAGACAGAACAAAATGTTTTCTGAGAACGCATAAATCATGCAAAAAAATCCAGAGAGCTCTGTGCTAATGGAGAGTTTTAGCTCCCAAGATATCATTTGATGCAGACAGAAAATAGTTGCAATTTTCCTACCTGGGGGAATCTGCGTTTGATAGATGTCAGGGCTCCCTCTGGGAGTTTGGCAAGTTCTGAATCTCTGACGGCATGAACTGTTGTGGCTCTAGGCTGATGGGTTAGTGCCTCTACCTGAAACAAAACAGAGCCAGAACATTAAAGATAATGTATAATGTGTTGTAAAAACAGTATGTCAAGGTAGAGAAACCAAACAATTCCCAAAAATAGGGCTATCATACTTCCTGGTCACCTACACTGCAAACAGAATATTACTTTCCCTCCCACCCCCCTAGGAGCCCTTACAGAGGGAGCTTCCTAAAGACACATCCATCTGCAGCACTTAGCAATATCGATGCAATCCAAATCTCACAGATGTTCTGCTGTCCTGCAATCTCATAGCAACAGAAACTGTATCTTTTTGCTGTATCTTTTTATCCTTTGTTTTTAATTGCAAGAATGCCATCTAAGAGGAAAATCCAGTTTCTTACTGCTTTTTCTTTCTTTGTTCACCTTCCCCTCACCAACCATCACCCTGAAGTTTCAGTCTCAGAAGCTGAATAGCAGCAACCTTAAAACAAGCAAGAGTTCCTGAAAGAGATAAGAGGAACAAACCCACATATTTTGGCAGAAGAGAGCTTTGCTCTTCCCCAGGTACACGCGTGTGGATCTGTGCTATGTAAACACAAAAGCACATTCCAGGATGCAGCAACCTGAATATAACATCCAATTCCTTAATTTAGAAACCATTTATGGAGAACAGAAGTCTGAAGAAAACAACGGTGCTATGAAAATTAATATTGAGATGTTCTCCTTTGCAGGGAAGAACTGCCACAATATAAATGAGGAACAGGTTGCGAAGCCCCGCTCTGCAAAGTGCAGCTGTGCAACCCAATCCCCTCCTGTACCATCTGCAGAGCCCAGAGCCCAGCACCAGCTCCCGTGGTGCTCTGAGATGCAGAAATCAAATCCCCTGGTGCAATATTTTCACACTCTTAATGAGATCGCCCGCTAGGCGAGATGGCGTCACTCGGAGCTCAGGCGGAGCTGCAGCACTTAATTGCTTAGTAACAGCCCAGTGCACTTTTGCAAGTTCTAGCACTAGGCAATGTTTACTGGGTTTAAAATCCATACATCATGCATTCAGGAAAAAAAAAAAAAAAATAGTGGCTGCTGCACCAGCTGTAATCACTGAGATTAACACAAAAACAAAATCCCCACCCTGGCTGCAATTCGTGGGCAGTCTGAAGAAAAACAGCACCACCCCCCACTGTAAGTCGCCCAGCAGAAAGAGAAGAAAATAACATATCAGCTTATAATTGCTTCTTACAGATTTTGTTGCATAGCTTCTGTTTGCAGCAAATTCCAATGGACGTAATGCTTCCCCTACAGAAGTAGTGCTCAGACAGAGTTAATGTGGGGGATTACACACGGTGTGCTGGCTGAGCTGTGCAGATGTGCACTTCTACCCACAGTACAAGCAGATTAATTTAAAACACGCAGCTCCGTGACCCCACTTACAACAAGAGTGCATTCTTGGAAGGCTGCACGTGCACAAAATGGGCAATGCAGACAGCCACAGCACTTGCAATTAGTCCAGAAGGCTGAGATTAGCCTGCTGGTATCATTAATTCTTTAAAATAGCTGGGTCAGAGGAGCTTAATTCAACCACAATTGTGCTGTGTGTGAACAACCTCACAAGTAAATGTGAATTAACTCCATTTTGCAAGACCTGGCCTTTGGTTTTTGTTCAGTGCTGGGGTGTTTTGTTATGTAATGATGTTTGGAAGCAATTACACAGACCACAGGCCATGAGGTGAGGCCATGCCATCCCTGTCCATTCACAAGCCCCCTTTAGGGTTACCCCAGTGGTTGTGTAATATCTTCTGTTCATCTCTGATCCCTATTACTAGCTTTTGACCTCAGGTTTTCAGATCTGCCATTAAGCTTCCTCGTTCTGAAAGCAGATTAAGGATTTCAATCACTAAAATAAAACCCTTTCTTCTCAACCAGTCATCAACCAACTGAGTCCAATTTGTTTAAAGACAAACACTGCCAGTGCATAACACCCTTTTCCACTCTTTCCATTATATGAGAGTGCATGAAATTAGCTGTGCTCCCAGCAGCTCACAAGACTTTCAGAGGAGATGAGACTTGTGAAAAGAGAATTACATTTCAAAACAAAGCCTCACGGAATTTTTTTTTTTTTTTCCTCCAAATTGTGACTTTTTCTGTTTCAATTGAATGCTGTTTGTCCGTGGGGAGAACAAAAAGGAGATGGAGGTCTTCTTCCAACCTCCTCTACTGGGAGCTGCTCAGGTCTGCAGAGCAAGAGGCATTCGCAGCACCACTGCTTTATGCACTCCTGCAGCTGCAGCAAATTTGTTGAAAGCAATTCCCAGCTGATTACAGAGAACAGATCTTGTGCTACTCTTGCATAAATGTATTATACAAATCTAGCCAGCAGCTTGACTGTTCTCATGCAAATACACTCCACTATCATAGCTTAGAAACTACCCCAGGTCTCAGGCACTGCACACCAAGAAATTCAAGTTTTGCCCCAGCCTCTGCTCCCATTAGTTTTCCCAAATGATTCATATAATGCTTCCTCTTCTCTGGAAGATGGAAAGTTCCCATTCAATGCCCAGACCACCTGCAGGACTGTTCTCCACCCTTGCTATGTTCTTGCTTCCCTCTCTGCACCCTGCACTTACAACGCCCATCTTGCACCAGTTCTGTAGTTTTTGTACACAGGACACTGCCAAATCAAACAGGCATTGGCTTTTCTCACCCTTTTTGGGGACAGAAAGGCCTTCTAACCACTGAGTCATAGTTCTACCCTGACAACTAAGCTTTTCTTCTCTGTATTTATCCTTCTTAATAAACTGTTTGAGATGCTGCTTATTCAGAGGTGTGGGATTTGTTGGGTTGGTTTTGTTGTTGTTTTTGTTCTGTTTTGCTACTATTGCTGTAAAAAAACAAGCTTCAGACAATAAAAAATTAAAATCTTGAGTTGAAAACTTCAAGCCACATTCAGATTGAACAGAGGTTTAAGCAACCTTCCTTGTGTTTCAGGTTTGTAAATCGTATAAGACTTGGCAATCCAGCTTGCACTTGAATATGCACAAAATCCACCTGCAATCAGCAGATCAGCCCCTAAGATTAATTCTTAGTTACACAAAGAGAGGGAGGAAACAGCATAGTTTTTAGACACATAAGTAGATACATCTATCACCCTGGTTCACCAAGAACCTCTTCCAAGACTGCTGTAACCATTTATCCCTTCCAGCACACAACACAGCTACAATATTTGTCCCAATATAAGGAAGTACCTGTGCCCTCTTTCCCATTTCTTTTCAAATTCGACCGATCACAATATATTTTGCTGGAAGCAAAGAATACTTCTTTTGGTCCTCTGATTCTTCTCCCACAGTTTCCATCCCTCTTCCTCCCCACTGACAAGCCTCCATCAGCAAGCTCTGGTGTTGTGTTTTTATTCCCCATTGCCATTTTTTATTCACCCTGCTCTCCTTCAAATGATCCTCCAGTGCTCATGGAGCTCCCTGAAGGCTGCAGCCACCACCTCCGTGCTCTGGCTCTACTGGCTGCCTTGTTTCAGCAGCCACACTGCAGCACCAAATGTCCCATGCCCATTTCTCCCACATCTGCCCTATGGCTCCTCATGTACAGTAAATACCAATGTTTCCTCTCTTCTACCCCCATCACGTCCTCAGAAGTCCACCTCCTCTAAGAGATGCACGAAGCGATGCTTTGAGTGCTGTTAATAATTTGCATTGAGGACCACGTGGAAATTGCAAGTGTTACTCTGTGGTCCTTGTAACTGATGGCACACTTCATGCAGAAGGTGGTCCCTCCTTCACTGCAGTTCTGTTGGTGCTACTGCTAACAAAAGAAAAAACCCACAGACAGACCTATGCTCTTTTTACTGTTTCTTCCAGTTAATTCTGACAGGCTTTTTTTCATCTGCTCCTAATTCAGCATTAAATAGTGATAAAAACACATATGACGCATCACGTACGATGCCAATGATTCACAACCTTGGCTTACAAGGAAAAGTGCTTTCTTTTACAAAGAAAAAGTGCTATAAATCCTTTAAAACAAGGGAAGAAAGCAATTTATATTCTCACGACCTCTTCTGACTCCACTTTCAACAGTCATCCCTGACAGTTCCTCCAGCTCTCTCCAAATTACACAGTTGGAAAGTAACATCCAGCAAGTACCCTGTCTGCTGTAAGCTGGTCTAATTACTCCAAATTCCTTTTTGAGCCACATCCAACAAAACACTTTCAATGTCTGCTAAACTTCAGCATACGCAGCCTATTACTGCAAGGAACCTGCTTCAGCAGGGGGTTGGACTCTGTGATCTCCAAAGGTCCCTTCCAACCCCTATGATTTTGTGATTCTGGGTGAATATCCCCAGGGAAGGACGTACAGCTATCCCCATGCTGAGCTGCAGGCACCTCACACACATTGAGGAGGATTTGACCATAATGAAGGCTCCTTCAGGTTAGCCTGTCTTCAACCTGCACTAGATTCATAAGCTCTTTTAGTTGTTCCTTAGTTGTTCCACGCGTTCCCTTCCTAGCCACATGTTTAACACACTATGTTCAGCTTCTCTTCCTTTATAGCTGTTATTTCACCCCAATAATCTTTTATTCTCCTATATATCATATTTCTTTTCTCATATTCATCTTTTCCTTGCTGTGAGCTCACAAAAAGCAGTCATCTTTGCACAGCACAAAGCCCAGCCGTGCACCACCATCCTCCAGCACAGCAGCACAGGAGCACGAGGTTGGGGTGTCACAGGACCCTAAGAAGGTCTGAACCCCAGGATTCAGGTTGAAATCTTCATCTTCCAAATCTATCTTCATGACAGCTCCAATTGCTGTGTGCCGTTAGCCTGGTGTTTGTATGCTTTAATGCTCACTCAAGACACTTTGGCAAGAATTAGCAGCCCAGAAACAAGCACCTAAAGGAACAGGGGAGGCCACAGGACAGCAGGAGAAACAGGGATGAAATACAGCACCCAAGGAAGTGTAAATACACCAGCGGAGGCATGAGATAAAATGTCAACACTGACATCTGCTGATAGTTTAGGAGGCTCGTGGCAAAAG